GCAGACCTCACTCAGCCTTCCGTCCACTGTCACGGTGACTGTGAGAAGAAATGACCCGACAGGGACAGACTAAGCTGTCCACGAAGTCAGCACAACAGGTGTGCAGGGCACAGGAGACCCAGGCGTGTAATTAAGGGCTCCGGACACCTGGTGTGAATTGCCCATTCACACCCTAGCAGGTGGCTCACACCTCTGAGGAGGAAATAGCAGAGGGAAAAAAACCGTTCTATCTGGAGCCAGAGCCTGGCCAATCTAGCGGCTATCCTTGCCCTTCATGGACAGTTCCAGGAGGATGGTGGGCTCTAGAGTACCAGCTGACTGCATCACCACAGAGCTGTGTGACCCAGGCAAACTGCTAACCCTCTCTGTGCCTCCCAAACTTCGATTTCATCAGCATTCTGGAGGAAGGTTCCACACAGTAGGTCTACATACTCTGAGCATCTTGTGAGACCCACTGGGTACCAGGCTCCCATGCACATCCCAGTGGCATGTGTGTCCTTACAACCTGGAGGGTTTTTGTTCAATAAGCGGGTAATCGAATGCGGAGAAGTTGAAGGGGAACTGGCAGGCAGGCTGGAACACAGTGGAAGGAAGGGACAGACCAAGCGGAAGGGAGCCAGTCAAGGGCACGCCGAAGGGCTTGACCTACACGGCCATAAGTGCAGAGGCACTCATGTGCCCGGTCTGTGCCCGGCACAGGACACTCTGGGTTTCCAACCTCCAGATGAGACTCAGACACAAAGAGACTGGGTAACAAGCCCAGGTCACACAGTTAGGAATGGTGGCACTGGGCTAGGTGCCCAAAGGCCACCCCAGGCTGTGCCCTTTGTTTTACTGCCTTGAAGACTCTGTGACATCACGTCTGACAAGACTAGGATACAGGAGACATCCATGTGATAGTCAGAGGCCTCTGCATGTATATGTGGTCACTCAGAGGGGAAGCTGGAGGGGAGGGGGAAGGATGGAGGGGAAGTCGGAGGGGGCTACAGAGTCTCAATTCTGGCAGATGCTCAAACCCAAATGCCTGTTGGTGGGGTGAGGTGACAGCAAGGGGCTGGGTAGGGGACTTGCTGTTAAGGGCTGTGTAAACAGAGTGGTGGTTGGTGGAACTGTGTGGGGACCCATGCTGATGGGTTTTCCTGTCCTCAGAACCAGGACTTAGGAACCTCTAATGCTGGTGGCTCCACATAAACCAATCCGGGCCATATATGGCCTATAGCTTGTCAGTGGTACCTCAGGTTGTGGTAAGCCAAGTGATAATGACACTCAGCAACAGTCAGGACTTAGGAGCTCAACAGACACAGGCCCCGCCTCTGTGGGGTAGCTTTCACACCCCAAGGGCTCTGTTCTTGGATGATGGCAGCAGCAGGGACACTTCAGAGGAAAACTGAGACAGAGGGACGTGTCCAGGACTGATGGGGAGTTAACAGTGGGGGCCTTCTCACAGAAGGCCAGGCAACTGAGCTCTACAGTGACTGGCTAGTGACTAGGAGAAGTCCTCAGGCTCTCCAGACCTGGGCTCCATGTCTATAAGATGTCCCGTTAGCTATCCAGTCTGTTGCATCAGTGTGGTGTCTCTGAAGACACCTGGTCCTTTCAGAAGGGAAGCTGACAGCTTGCAGGCCTGGGGACAACTCTAGTGAACACCTCTCAGCTTAAGTAAGTTAAGCCTGTCCTCACACAGATGGCCACCTGTGCTTCATGGCTAGGAAGGCAAGGTAAACGACCTAAATATATGCAAGGGGCAGAGAGGGGAGGTGGAGGGAACAACTGTGGGTGCGAAAAGGGACAGCTTTCTTTCCATACCTTGGAGAAGAGGGTGGGAACTTGTGAGCAGAAACTGCCCAGGGACTATGTGGAGGCCCATCAGAGGCTGTGGCTGCACATTCTTCCTGCCTGCCTGCACCCAGGCCTTCCCTTCCACCTTGGACCCACGACACTGGTCTTCCTAAGCCTTGGACATGGCTTTGTGAAATCTACAGTGACCAAGGGGATCCTCTGGCTTCTCTCGCATGCCTGTAGCTCTGTTGGGCATGCTTTCTGTTTCCGTCCTAAAGTGAGGAAAGCTGAGGCCTCAAGAGCGCTGCGGTCACTCTGAAGGAGAAAAGGAGCCATTGGGAAGCCCAGTCTATGGCCAGGGGGCAGCTCTGTGTGGAATATTCCTTTACACTGTGTGACTATGTGTCACTGCGGTTGGGTGAATAAAGAAGCTGACTGGCCAGTAGCTGGACAGGTAGAGGCTAGACGGGACTAGCAGACAAAAAGTGTGAAGGAAAGGAGGAGTCTTGGAGTCATACGAGGAGATGCAGAGGAAGAAGGAGATGAACTTACTGTACTGAGAAAAGGCACAGAGTCTTGCAGCAAAGTGAAGATTAGATATATGGGTTAATTTAAAATGTAAGAATTAGCTAGTAACAAGCCTGATATATTGGCCCAGCATTTATAATTAACAATAAGTCTCTGTGTGGCTATTTGGGAACTGGCTGGAGGGACAGAAAAGTCCTGAAATACGCCGAGGATGACACTGGCAACCCTCCCTCCCTCCTGTCTGTTTGTCCCCCCTTCCCCCAAGTCATGCCCTTTGATGCCAGAGCAGGCATTTAGCAGTGGCAGAAGAAAGGAGACTCTAGACCTTCCTGATAGGGCTGCATTCCCTGGCATCCAGCACAGCGCCTCATACAAGTCACACATTGCCACAAAGTAACCCCACCAAGACAATTTGGGAGTGACAAATCCTCCTAAACCTGGGAGAACAACAGATTCAAAAGATCAAGTTCTAGGTCAGGGCCCCGAAAGTCATGCTAGCCAAGGTGTGCAGACTTGGGTAGACTGTTTCCTTTGGGCATAGGAGAAGCCCTCCTACGCCTGGGCCTGCAAGCACCAAGCAGACTCAGCATGGCAGGCACCAGGCACAGAGCCCAGCACATAGGCACATAACTGGGACGTGGGTTGTGATTTTGATCGTATCTACCAGGAAAAGTCCCCCAAATCCTGCCTGACATAGTAGGTCAACCAATCCTCCTAAGCTCTGAAGCCTTCCCTTAGCGACCTTTTGCTGGTCAGTGGCTTTGTCTAGATTCAGGCCTGAGGCTCAAGTCTTGCATCCCTGGGTAGGCTCACAGTGCCCCCTGCTGTCCATCGCTGCAATTGCCCTCAGATCTCAGTCTGCTGGGAGGCTAACAAAAGCAAGGCAGGGCCTGTCCAGGAGGGTTCCAGCTTCAGGGTTTATGACCACTCAGACAGAACAATGGCGGACAGGAAGAGATACCTCATGTAAGTACATTCAGCAGACACTAATTCCCTGTCTACTAAATAGTCGTATAATACACAGATCAAACAAAGCTCTGTCTCCTGCCTTGCCATCTTTTGTTTCCCTGGATAAATGTCATCCCCAAAACACTGTGGAACCAAGCGACACTGTCATCTTGGAGGGATGTGGTTCCCAATCAGCACACCGGTCTTAGGCACTCCTTCTGATGTGGCAGCAGTGAGACTGGGCTCTTTTTAGAAGCTGAGTCACATCAGGCAAGCACCGAGCCAATGTTCTCACTCTCCTTTTGGCTGATGCGCTGGATCCGGGTATGTGAAAAATGCCCCCTGGCCCCCAAGTGTGACCTGTCTCTTCAGGCACCACAGTTCAGACCCCAGAGGGGAAGGGACGCTGCATCAGTTCGGCTGACCGCAGCTGTAAAGCCCCACCCCAGGGGATGATGAAAAACAGAGACGGGAAGGGTTTTGAAGCTGATTCTCCAAATAGCATCCCACTCTCTTAACCTCACAGCAAGAGTAAAGAGGCGAGTCTCACAGAGACAAATCCCTCTCCAGCTCTGCACTCATCCTGTAGCCACTGTGCCTTACGGGGTACCGACAGGTCACTCTACCAGACACATCACCTGAGAAAGTGACAAGCAGGGACCGAGTGCTGGCGACTGGGCCACTGTAGCAGTGGCAGAGGAGAGAGGGACTCAAGGACCATAAGTACTAAGACTCCAGCTGAGCCTCAGCAATCTGCACAGCGCACCCGACTGATGTTCTGAGGGCACACAGTAGCCCCTTTTCATAGGGTCACAGAAATGTCTCCTTCAACTTGGGGTTCAGTGCAGGGCCATCTAAGCAACCTCCCATCAAAACGTTCTACTGTACACGTATGGGATGGCCAGCCGAGGCCTGTGTGGTTTGCTTTATAGAGTCCATCAGTCCTTCTGGGATCCTCTGTAAGAATTCAGACTGATGGGGGCACAGGAGAGATGGCTCAGTGGCTAAGAGCACTGTTTGCTCTTCCAGAGGACCTGGGCTCTTTTCCAGGGCCCACATGGAAGCTCACCACCATCTGTAACTCTAGTTCCAGGAGATCTGATGCCCTCCTCTGGCCTCTGAGGGCACTGCATGTGCATGGTGCACAAACGAAAGCAAAACACACACGAAAAAAAGGTTGGGGGGGGGGAAGAATTCATACTTGAAACAAACAAACAAACCTCGAATCTTTCAACCATGAGCAGAATGGGCCTAACTAAATCTAGGTTCCTGCCTGCCGTCATGGCCGGGAGAGAAGAGCCCTGAAGCTTCCACCTCCATGCTAGTCAGTTTGTCTCCAAGTCTCACCGCCTGCCTGGCCCCAAGTCTACCTCCCGTGTGACAGAGACCATGGCCTGTGTTCTGTATGTCATCCCCAAATGGCTTTTTCCAGAGAGCGACCAAGATCAACAGTCCTATTCCCATCAGGACATTAGCCCTCCCCCGAGCCGGTCCCACTGCCTGGGCCCCTCCTTGAAGGCACTGACTCTCTGGAACAGAGCACACACAAAGGGGTGTCAGAAAACCCCACAGGAGAACCACAGGCTGCAGCTGTCCCTCCTGATATTTAGTGACAGCCCTGGGATGCAGGCACACTCCTGGTCATCCTCGGAAAACCTCACTGTGCTAGAACAGTGTGGTCAAGGCCCGGGTGGCCTTCCAGCCTCCAGCCGGTGCTGTGCCCACAGCCCAGTGCCAGGACCCACCTGAAAAGCTCCCGGATCTCCCTCTGGTTGGCCTGGAAGGGGATATTCCGCACCAAAATCTTGGAGGTTGTCTGCTTCTTGGAGACCTGTTTCTTCCGAGTGGGTGTCAAGGCCGGCCTGGGGTGAGATGGCAGAAACAACAGGTTATTTGGGGTGTCAGCTGCTTGTACCAATCCTGTTACCTTCCCCCACAAAATACGCCTCCCTGTCATTTCAAGTGGCCTACTGAAGGGCCCAAGATGGAAGCAGAGGAAGCGAGCCTGTTTTCCTTGGGGTGACAGGGACTGAAGCTACCTTCTCTCCCAAACTGCTCTGGCTCCCTGGCCAACGAAGCCCATTGCTGCTATCTCATAAAGGACTGTGAGAAGGAACCATATGGGGGAGGGCCTTATACATTCCGGGCTAACACTATGCTCCTGAGTTACACCTCCAACACCACCTGCCCCTCTATTATAAAAACATGCCTGCATGTCCAGGCTCTCTGACTGGTCCAGCTGGGCAAGGAAATGGGTATCAAAGCTCGTAATGAAACCTTCATTGGGAAGAACCCCAAATGGTGACGAACTTGGGGTGTGTAGGGGTATTTTATAGTCAGGCAGAGAGAGCTGCCACCCATCCAAGGAAAGAGGAGACTCACTTGGTGGCCCGTTCGGAGATCCGCACTTCCAGTTTATGGCCGTCCACAACGTGACCCTAGAACACAAAATGACCAGGCCTGGTCACTTACCCATGCTTGCCCTTCTCCAGCACTCAGTCTCTTGTTTGATGACAGGGGTGGCTTGTCCCAGACTGAGGGTTTGGTGGGAATCAAGGACTGAGATAGCTTGAACAGAAAAGCTGTCCCTGAGCCAAGCAGCAGGTGGCCAGAGACCCAGCCTCCTGATGTACTCATCTGGCCACCCAGGGAGTCACTTCTACCACTAGAAGCATTCTCAGAGAGAGGAGCCGCAGGTCTAGCTTGCAGACAGCTTGCTCTAGTTTGCAGGCTCTTTAATGAACGTTCTAACCCACCCGAGTCATGCGTTAGCTGGGCTCTGACTGCAGTCCCCAGTTGCAAAGCTGGTGATTAGCAGAATGACCCTGGGAAATCCCTCAGATATCCCAGGAAATACAGCGTGTGGGGCTTTGGATGCTCCATCCCTGACAGTGATGTGCACACACGTTCGTGCACAGAACAGCACATGGCATGCATGCAAATGCCTGGCTACCAACTCTTGAGAAACATGAAAGAGAAAATATGGACCATCATTTGCAGCGCTGAATATGAGTTAAATGAAGACACGGGGTGCAGGAACAAAGTAGGATTTCTAGTTCAAAAAACAAACACCCCCTGCCCCCCCCCAAAAAAAAACCCAACTTCACAAGGCACATGCTGAACTGTGTCCTCTGCCCTGCATGGCCTGAGATGATTGTCAATGCAGAAAGCTCTGTGCCCTGCTATGCAGACCAGGCTGGTCAGGAACCCAGAGATCCTCCTGAGTGATAGGTCTGTGGCTGTCTTATTAAGCAAAGCTCAAGTCCCTCTAGGGCTGCCACAGGTCCAGTCCACCTCTTTGTCTAGACACTTCTCAGCCCCGCCCCTAACTTTCGCCTTGCTCCAAACTAGGGTGATGTCATGAGAGGGGTGCAAGGGTTCCCCAGTCACTTCTGGACTGTCCATGCCACTCGAAGTAGCTCAGGGAACTGTTCTAAAACCCAACTCAGAGCCTCAGTCTCCCACTACCTTTGGGCCAGACGCTAGCTAGCCCTCCAAAGGACCTATCAGGTGGTCTAGCCTTCCACACCTCTTTCCCGGAACCCTGTCCCATCCTGCCTCCATCCCACCTGCCTCTCTCTGCTTCTCCACCATACAAAGCTCACTCCTGCCTTGGAGTTTCTGCCACAGGCCTCTGCACTCACCATCCCTACCTCCTAGCTGCTTCCTCCCAGAGTTCTGGGCAGATGACCTCTCTGCCATGACAGGTATCAGCTCACCTGCCACCTCCTTAAGGAACCCTCTTTGTGTTTTCTGGAATATTCTGGTGGGGGGGTGTTATTTTCACAGAGCACCCGACTCGCTCTTGCACATTTGTTCAGGTCAGAAGCTTGTCTTTCTCAGCAGAGGAAGGAGAGAGTCTAATTCACAGTCATGGTCTCACAGACTATCTGATAGATATAGCCCCACGTGCTGCACTTCCTGGGATATCTGAGGGATTTCCAGGGGTCATTTTGCTAATCACCAGCTTTTTGTCTAGGGACTGTAGTCAAAGAGCCCAGTTCCATGTAGCTCTGGTGGGTTGGAATGTTCCATAAAGAGCCTGCGGATTACAACAAGTATGTATGGAAGCATGGTAAAAGAATGGATGCGTCAGAGTGACTGGGGGTGGGGCTTAATCTTTCTTGGGCCACGGTCCCACCATGTTGGCCCAGAATCCCCAGCTTACCTGGAGCTGCTTGAGGGCTTTCTGGGCCTTCTCTGGCTTCTTGTATTCCACAAACCCAAACCCCATTGAAAGTAGCACTCCTGAGGGAAAGAGGGAGAGAGAAAGGGGGTAGAGCTCAGTACAGACCAGATCACTTGTGAAGAGGCCATGGAGGGACCCACACCTAGTGTCTCCTCCTTTCTCACACCCCTTTATTAAAAACAAACAAACAAACAAACAACCAGCTCGTGCAGACACTTAGGACCAGGCATAAATCAGCAATGGGGCTGCAGGGCTGCTACCTGGGGTCTTCTTGACTAGTACCTAGCAGACAACTGATGCCATATTAACTTCTTAATTGGAGTCTCCCTTTAAGAGGGAGTGGGAAGTAACAGGGATGACCATGGCTGTAACAAGCAGCAAAGCCTCAACCTGGCCAGGATGCTGCCATGCCTGAGGCTGAGGTGAGTACGGCTATAGACGGCGTGGCCTCTCTCCTTCTATACGCATCTGACATCCAATTATACCTGGGTCCTAGATAACAAAATCTGGATAGGGAGGCTGACCACAGCTCTTTCATGTTCTAGGGTGCGAGGGGCAATAGTTTAGGTAGCAGGAGTTCTCAAGGACGTTCCACCAGACTCATGCCTTCAGAACAGACATGTCTTAATGTGTACACTGCTGTATGTGCTGGTGTTCCACACTTGGTGGGAAGCTCCTCAAGACCAAGAATGGCAGGCAGTACTGGGTGCTCTAGGTCTTCATGTAGAAGCCCATGTTCCTTAGGATGGGACCCTGCTTGAGACATGTTCTTGACGATGGTAGTAGAGTAAAGTGTGATTATCATAGTGTACCCTAGTCCAGTACAGTCGGGGTCCTTCACAAACTGGGGAGAGACCAGACATCGTGACACATGTCTATACTCCCAACACTTGGGAGGCTATGGCAGGATTGTGTATTCAAGGCCAGCTTGGGTTACACAGAAAGACCCTACCTCGAAAATAAGCTAAAATTTGAACCCACGACAGGCGTACACAACCAGCATACCATAGGGATCTGGAGATGGCTACCCACAGGCTAGGGGGTGGGGAACTACAGAACTCCATCTTCACTGGAACATACCTGCCAGTGCAGGAATATTGATCTTGGATTTCCAGTCTCAACCATGGTGAGATGACACATTGGTGACTTTGACCCCTAGACTAGGGCTCTCTGTCACAGCAATCTGAGTGGAAGGGTGTCATGGACCACATCTGTTTACACCCCAGTGGCTCCCGCTAACATCTGGCCACTGTAGACTTGTAAGGACATGTAAGTCACTTCATTCCTTGGGCTCTGCCCACCCTCCTAGACCTCCTCCTACCACTTCCTCTACAGGTTCACAGTGCTCTGAGCTTGAGGCCTCTGCCATCTGATGGCTCTGTCTCTCCGCCATGAGCGCTGCTCTGCAGGGCTTCTGCCCACCACAGCCCTTAGCACTGTGCTGAGTGCACTGCCTCATCGTCTGCAGAGTCTGGACAATCCTGGGGACAGGTACCTTGTAACTAATGGTCTGCTTCCCATCTGTGGGGAGGATCTCGGGACCTGTCTGAGGTGTCATGGCTATCCATCACCACCCAGAAGCAAGCTGGACCAGCCTACATTGTATCCCCATCAATCCTGCCTAACCAAAGGGACTTCAGTTGGGGATGGCCAGGCCCTACCCATCTCTTACAGGAAGCAAGGAGGACCTCCAGAAAACTCAGGATAACTCCTGGGCCAAAGAAAGGCGTGAGGCCTAGTTACACCCTGGCCAGGGAGGCACAGGATTAATGAATTGGTAGAATGCTCTAGAACCTGCCTCTGGATATTTCCCTTGGAAAACAGGAGAGAAAGTCCAAGGCCAGTCATTCCTTGACATGCCTGGGAAAGTTCCAGAACACAGAGATAAAGGAGGAGGCGGAGGCTTCTGCCCCACACAGTTGATCCTGAGGAACTCTTTCAAAGCCACTCACTGTTGGGGAGAAAGTTCTACAGACAGAAGAGCCCAGTGTGTTCAGCTGGGTTTGCTGAAGAGCAGGAGGCCTGAAGCAGACCAAGGACCAGTTTGGACAGGAGGGTGGTGACACTTGGAAAGCAAAGAGGAGATGCCTTGCTGGTGGTCCCGTCTCCGTCCCTCACGGGCTCCTGCAGGAAGCGCTTCTGCTGAGTCAGGGTAAATACCTGCTTTATTCTTCTTCTTGGACACAGTGCAGCTCTTCACAGCTCCCACTTTGGAAAACACCTGCAGAGACAGACGCCTGTCACCGGCTGCCTTCTAGACAGACAGTCCGCAGCTACCACCACTCCATTACGTGAGGACCCCGCCCCTGAGGTGAACGAGGGGTCGCAAGAGTTACAGGCAGGGCAGACGGTATGGTACGCTGTCATTAGGTCGCAGACTAGGGGTTCACATCCCTCCACCCCCACAACCTCACTCACTTCCTTCAGCGTCTCCTCTGTGGTGCTGAAGTTGAGGTTCTTAATAAACAAAGTGCATCCTGGGACGCCTTCTTCCTCCTCATCTTCCTCTTCTTCCTCCTCCTCCACACCTGTGGGGGCCTCTGCTCCTTCCTCTGAGGCCTTCTCACCTTCTGGGTCGAGAACTGGCCCTATCAACAAACAAACCAGTGCATTACATGGGGTCACTGCAAAGGCACAGAAGTCTCAGGGACCAATTAAATAAAGCACAGAACCTGCTAGGTAAAAGGGGCCCTGCAGGCGCTGTTGGGCCTCAGCAGGGGGAAGAGAGAAGGGAGAGGGAGGGGGAGAGGAATATAAGACAGGCAGGCAGACACACAAATACCCTGCTGTTGGCCCCATTTGAGAGAGAACAGAATATTGAACACAAAAACCTGAGTGTTCAACAGGCCTAGGCCGCACTAACTTAACTTTAAATTACTATGTGGACTATTTTCTTGAACCAAAAACCTAAACGAAATGTTATTTTTCCTCAAAAACAAAAAACCAGGGTGCTTAATGAACTTTCAGACTAAAATCCAATCTTAAATTTCCCAAAGTTGCAGAATGGGGGTGAAATGGACCCTTCTCAATAACCATGGGCCCAAGGGATTCGACTCAAGCCTCCGGAAGCACTGCTGAGAGATTCGAGCCCAAGTGATGGCGACAGCTCTTAGTCCAGCTTCTGAGTGTGGGTGGGGCTTCTGTCCCGGTGCTCAGTTCTGTCCATCTTCCCACCCTTTGGTGAAAGCCTCAAACTAGGTGCAGCAGAGTATCAACACCACAAGCCCACGGCGGAAATCTGGATGGCAATGGTGCAGTGACACTGCCCCCTCTCTGAAACAGTGGGAGATGTCGCTGTGCCTCGACTCTTCCAGCCTAGCCCAGAACCCAGACTCAAGCCTTGGCAAACAGATACGTCTCCCGGCAGTGCCGCCACAGTGCAGCTGCCTGCACTTGCAAAGCAAAGAGGAGGAAAAGCGTGACTCATGACGGGGACTGGGGACATCAGGTCCCAGGGAAGATTTGGGAGAAGAATAGCTTTAGACAGAATGACAGTCCCACCCACTAGTTCGCCTCAAAGGAGGCTTGTGACATCTCGAACACACGGGCCAAGACCTTGATGAGGTGTTATATCACGAAATGAGAGGCTACATAATATTCTGGAGGCTTCTGCATATGAGCCCTAGCCCTCAGGCAGCCTCAGGTTGGTGCAAGGGTCCATCAGAGTCGGGAAAGACATTTCCACAGGGAAGGAGACGGTAGGGAAGATGATGGCTCAGAAAGTGTGCAGCCCACTAGAGAGGGTGTCCCGTCTTGGAAATGGGGAGGTCACCTCGGTGTGACCAGAAAGGTGGATGGAGTTTTCAAGAAGAAAATGTAGCTGTTTTTCAAAAGCCAGTTTATCAATTCTTGCAACTTAAATTGGTAGCACTTGGCCAGCAAAGGAACCAGCTTGCTAGCCTCATGTTCTACGCCCTGGCTGCCACACTACTGATCCTGCCCTCCTTCTGTCCCTGTTCTGGACTCAGCCAGTTCTCAGCAGCATCCAGGGGACAGAAGCCTGGCAGCCCCTGCCATGTGCACCTGGGACTCTTCCCTGACCTGTGCCTCAGAGTGTGTTCAGATGGTCACAGGGAGACAACACTCAGCTTTAGCAACACGCTGAGCTAAGAAAGGCTGTGGTCAGTATCCAAGATGGGTAGGTCCTTTCCTAGCAGGCCAGCTGCTCCTAGTCCCAGCCTCAGAAAGTAGAATGGCTAGCATCTATTCCTAGGTGTGCAGCTGGTCTGGCCAGAAGAGTGTCAATGGCCTCTCCAACTTCCAATGAGTCGACCCACACCCTCCCCCAACATTAGGAAGAACATCCCACTGCAAATACATGACATGCTTTAGTACTGCAGGCCCTCTTCTCACAGCTTAGGCTCCCTATGCTCATCCTGATCCACGTGGTACTGGAAAGGTAGGGAAACCGAGGGTGGCATGGGGCTATGACACATGTGCAGGCCATACTGGTTCTGCCATGCACTAGCTATGCTGGAGCCAGTGGCTGAATCCCTGCCTTAGCACCCGCCTTCAGTGTGGCGTTTACTGAGACTGAGCGTAGTACACAGGCATAGGGCACACATGCATGCATATGCACACACATACTCACAGTGCACCGGGCCGTTCTGGAGTACATCTGTCCATGACCTCATCAACATGCCTGAATACTGTCTCTGGTCACCTGGTTGCTGCCCCCCCCCCCCCACTTGGGGCTGGCCCCTGGCTTATCAGCTACTCATGACTCATCCCTGGTTTTTCTCTGCTCCACTCACACTAACTGTGCTGGCCTCTTTGCTGGCCGCCAGGCCTACCAAATCCACGCATGCACGGGACCTTTGCACATGCTGTCCCCGCCCACTCCAGTCATATTCATCTCCTAGAGCCCCATCAGGTACCATAAGCATTCTCCCTGAGAGCTCTGCCTGTCTACTGTGTTACAAAGGACTCAGCTAGTCTCTACTACTTTCCTTTACTCCCTTCTTTTCAGAACCCCAGCCCCACCGGGAAATCACCCCCCACTGGCTCATGTCTGTGTGTCTCAAGTAGGAGGGGAGCTTACCAGTAGTGGGTCTGGGTCTGGGAAAATGATCTCCATTCCCTAAACACCACGGAAATGTGTCTGTCACACTCAACCTGATGCTGGAACACAGGCTGGCAACCACACTGACTGTGCTTCCGAGCAGCTGTGGGGCCGCAGACACAAGCTCAAACACTGGCCTGATTACTTTGAATCACACACTGTCCGTAGGATCCTCATGCAGGTCCTGCAACCTCTCCAGGCTTCCCTCTTTCTCACTGTCTGCAAAGTGTGTCAATAGAGGCTCTGCTTGCAGAAGGCTCTGAGAAAGATCAAGGAGGAACCAGGGAACTGGCCTGCCACAAGCATCCAAGATAACTTTCCTGATCCATAACCTCCCTGTACTGTACGTTGCTTGATGGGCCCTCCTGGAACTGCCAAAGGAAAAGCTGTGAGTCCCTATAATTCTGAGCTGACCTCTCCCCGTCTCCTCTCTGTGGGTTCTGAGAAAGCCTGCTATCATCACATATCCAGGAACCTGACCTCATCCCAGCCACCTTAGGCCTAACTACCAGCCCTGCAGTGCTCTGCACCTGGGCCAAGGAAGGGCTGGAGGTGGCTTGAGCACCAGAGGGGTGAAAATGAGGACTTTTAAAAAACTGTTTCTGCTTTAACCCCACGTAACAAAAGAAAGAAAAAAAATTGGGTACCATGGAATCCAAATGGATGATAAGAAAAGCAAGAAGAACCAGAGAGGGAGGAAGGAGTAAGAAAGGTGGAGGGCCGGGCAAGGGCTGGTCGGAGTGAGAAGCTAGATGCAGGGTGGGCTGCAGGGACCGGGAGGAGCAGGGAAAAACCGCTCCTACCTCAGTACAATGACAGCCAGTCACGGGTGGCCACAGGGGGCGTCATTATAATCAGGCTGCAGGATTCCCCAGTCCCTCCCCACTCCGGGCTCCTGTGAGGCCCACAGCGACAGCCTGTTATCAGCAGCAAGCAGCTTTGTGGGACCTCCCCTGACTCACAGCCCTTTATCTGGAGGTGAGGGTCTTGGTTGTGGGAAGATAAAACACGCTGTTCCTCTCCCTCGGGACCCATGCAGGGAACAGAAGCTCACTGCAGAAACCAGGGGGGCTCAGGAAAAGCCTCTCCTTCCCCTCCTCCTTGCCTGTGAGATCCTAGCCTGAGGCCCCAGCACTCAGGTCCTCACACAACAGGGACAGGAGAGCTTGTGGTACCTCAGAAAAAATGTGCAATGGGCAGGGGTTGAGGGGCACAGAGAACTGGGGACAGAAAGGGGACTGTGGACTAAAATAAGGGTGAAAAGAGCCACGGGGGCCAAGATGGTTCCAGGAAGTGGCAGTAAGGATGATGCAGATGCAGTGGCCATGCAGGGGTGCAGCCAGGACAGCTTCAGACAGGGGTGCAGCCAGGACAGCTTCAGACAGGGGCGCAGCCAAGACAGCTTCAGACAGGGGTGCAGCCAGGACAGCTTCAGACAGGGGTGCAGCCAGGACAGCTTCAGACAGGGGTGCAGCCAGGACAGCTTCAGACAGGGGTGCAGTCAGGACAGCTTCAGACGGGTACAGACAGCTAGGACAGCTTCAGACAGGGGTACAGACAGCCAGGACAGCTTCAGACAGGGGTACAGACAGCCAGGACAGCTTCAGACAGGGGTGTAGCCAGGAGAGCTTCCCGGTCCAAATTTGGGTGAGCAGCTTGGCCCTTCTCCTAGATGAGGACCTTGGTGCAGGTCACAGGCTGTGGTCCTGGAAACCAACCCCTCCCAGGGTCAGGGCCTGGTAGGACAAGGCAACAGAGCACCAACTCCAGCCCCACCCCCGCCCCTGACACCGGTGTTAGGAAATCTCTCTAGCTCTGGAGAAATGTCTTCACCCAAGGCCACTAGTACTTCTCAGCCTTCTCAGTCCCTCCCCCACCCCACCAGGCCAGCTGGGAACTCTGGGGAGCAGGCTCTGTGTAAGTAGCTACAAGAGCACGTGGAGTGATGCCACTTGGCTCCCAGCCTGTGGGTGACCACAGTGACCTTGGTCATCCTGGTGGCCATCAGCCATGCTACAGACATAAAGACAGAGCACAGGGAAGGGAGATGCTCCCCAGCCATGGCAAGGAACACAAGGCCGCTCACGCACTGGGCGGCTCGCATCTCCCTGAGAACAGCGCCACTACCGTACCTTTAACTCAGAATTCCACTGGCCGCTCACAGGCTCCGGCCACAACCACCTGAAGTCACCTTCACACCTCAGTGTCACTGACCATTCATTGGTTGGAGCCACCAACACCCAAAGTCACTTTCAAACCTCGTGCTCCAGAGGCTCAGGACATAAGCACCACCGTAACCCAGACCTCCCTGCAGAGGAGGGAGTCACATCCTTCCCACAATCTTTCACTGCTTTGCCGTCTATCTCTGCAGCCATCCAGCCCTACGCTAATGGCTGCATGGGACGCTGAGCACCCAGGGTGCAGTGACAGTCTGGCCAGTATCACCTGGGGGGTATTGCATCAGGAGACATAGACCAGGTGAGCAAAGTCACACAGCATCTTGGGTGATCCAGGCCTCACAGGCTGATGCTACTGCCCAGCCAGGAGACGGACTTCCTAGGGTGTGTCTTCAGGAACCATGGCCCTGGCTAATTTTAGTGTTTGACATGGAGTATTTGCCTTATGCCAAAATGAATCATGCAGGTTCAAGTGTAATACAATGCCAAGAAGGAAGGCAGCTGGAGGTCTGGGGTCATGTGGGGGAAGAACTAACCCAGACAGAGGTGGCCAACTCAAAGCTCAACACCTGCAGCACAAGCACCTGAGGTCCTACCTATAACACTAATGAAATAACAAATCCAGGGCCACGAGAAGGGACGGCTCTTGACTTATCATAAGCAGGCTTGAGGAAAGGGTGTGGAGAAGGTCTCACCAGCTACACAAACCTGAAAGCCACAGAGTGTCAGGGTCAAAGGGCAGAGATAGAGTGACTTCCCACCTGGAACTATGGCATGGGGAGGACCCTCAGTGGACAGTGTGAAAAGATGTCACTCAATCTGAGCAAGGATCCAAATCCTGCATCTGCCACCCTAATTACTCGCCTTTGCTTTCCTTTCTGCAATATAGTCTTACGCCCACACACATTACTATACAAAGACCACAGGGAATGGGATGTGGTGGCACACACCAATACCCCAGCCTGTAGTTCCAGCACTCAGGAGTCAAGACAGGGGCTCTGCTGCACAAGGTCATCCTCAGCTATATGGGAGGTTTAAGACTACCCTGAGCTACGTAAGATACCAGAAACAAACAACAAAAGACAGCAAACTCCAATACACCATGTCGATAGCCCCTACTTCACAGCAGTCTGACACGCCTCAGGCTTGCTGGCTCCACTGCCCAGGGTGCAGCTGGGATGTTACCTGGATGCTTCAAGTTCTCAAGAGTGACTGAGCTGTCAGTCTGAATGGGGGAGAGCTATCCTGGTCCTGATGTCATGTACCCCTCCCTCCAAATGAGGCACAAGCTAAGGGGACCTTTCCTGACCATGCAGTCAATAGACACTAGGGGGCACTGTGATACCCAAGCCGCTGCAGAGGGACCATTTCTTCCAGCAGCCACCTTGATGATGGAGACAAGGTTCCCATAGCCTCTTCCATCCCTGACAACAGACTCAAAGATTTTGTCCCCAAAACCTTCCACCAAGAGCTAAAAGTTGGCCACCTCATGTGACAGGATCCCAATGGCCTACTTTTCAAAGGGCGTTTGATGCGAGCTATCTGGAGAAAGAATGAAGGGTATCTGGCCGGAGGTCTAATGACAGTCTCAGCTGCCCCTTGCCCTCCTCCCACAGATGCCACGACACGGTGACCCCAGATTGTGCTCTTACCCGTCTCTGGCTCTGCCTCGGTTTTCTCTGTAGCCTGTGTAGGTTGGGAATCTTTCTTCTGAGGGGCTGTGCCGAAGACACCAACTGGAGCCCACTCCAGGTACAGGGGAACATGATGAAACTGCAGAGACAGGGGTGCCAAGGTTGTAGGTTGCCATCAAAGAGCTGGCTTTGAGACTCAGTGCCACCTGACAGAAGGGCCTGAGGGACAGAGGTGATAGCACCAGGAGAAGTCAGACACAGAGCCCTTCCTGTGTCCGCCAGGGCCAGGGCCCCTCGTAAAGCCAGATGCCAGGGTACAGCCTACAGAGGTCTGTGAAGTATAAAGCACTCAGACAGACAGAAATTCCTGGCAGCTCCCCAAGATATGGCCACACCTTGACCTTGAGCCCTAGAGCCTGTGACTGATCTTCTTTGCAATATGAGGCAGATTCTGGAGTGAGACCGCCCTGTGTTACCTGGGTGAGCTCTAAATTTAATAAAGAAGTCCCTGGGCGGGGGGGGGGTGACACACATCCATAATCCCAGCACTCGGGAGGCAGAGGCAAGTGGATCTCTGTGAGTTCCAGGCCAGCCTGGTCTATAGAGTGAGTGCCAGGACACCCGAGCTACACAGAAACCCTTGAAAAACAAAAACAAGGAAAAGTCCAGAGGGAGAAATGGGATAAGCAGAGGTGACTGGGTGCGTCTGGAGTGACTACCAAGCCAAGGGCCACTGGGACTATCAGAAGAAAGCAGGGGACAGACTGTCCTACAGCTGGCAGAGGGAAAGAACCTATTGCTTGGTGGCTTGGGCTCCTGGCTGCCAGCTTTGGAGTGCCCAGACTCAACAGTCTGATGCCACCAAGCTGGTGGCCACTTGTGCCAGTAGCCTGGGAAGCTCACACCTGATAATTTTTCTTTTATCAGAAGTCAGGAGGCAGCCCCGGGTACAGCAGTGATGGCCAGCTCATGGCCAGCTCACAGCAGCAAGCTCCAATGTGGGTTTGGGCGAGGCTGTGTATGCCAGGCCCAGGCCAGCTCGAGGGCAACTCTAGCTCTTGGTGTCTAAGGCCCCACCAAGATCAGCAGCCATACCTTAGAATAGGCCAGGTGCCTGAAGGCCTTGCGGGCCTCCAGGGGCTCCAGGAACTCTACAATGGCCGTGATGCCACCTTCAGGCAGCAACACACGGCCCAAGCTGCCAAAGCGACCAAAGATCTCCTGGAGCTCCGCCGCCAGTGTACCTGCAGGGAGGTTCTTAGCCAGGATCACAGTCTTACTTCGCTCTGCTGCGGCCTGAGGGGAAGAGATGAACATGTGTGTGACAGTAGGAAGGTGATCTCAGCATGGCTTCAGTACTGACCGTTGGTGGTGGCCTCCAGGAGAGAGGCCCCATCAGGGCCCCTTGTGGACAGCCTGAGGGGTTGGGGGGCAGGATGCACATGCTGATTCATTGCTAATTCCACACCCGTACCACAGCTCCAGAACTACACCTCCCCCAAATCACAGATTCCAACAGTCCCCAACCTCAGCCCAGACTGGTACTCCCAGGGTGGCCCCATGGGCTTCCAAAGGACAAGAGCCACACCTCAGTGGCCAGGTTCCTTCCCGGCAGCACACCCCTGGGGACACCCTACCCTCTGCAGGGGACATCCTAAGGGGCCACTCCTGCGGCCTCCTCTTGGTTCAGGCTACCATCACCCACAGGATCCATCACATCTCTCTGGTCTCTCAGGAAACCCTCTCCCAGCTCTGCAGAGGCCACTGGCTAGAGCATTCTGAGACCTACTGTGTGTAGTAAGGACTCACCTGGCTGAAAGAGTCCAGGCTGACGCCATTGTCGATAAGGAAGCTGCGGACCTCCTGGACCAGCTGGGTCTCCCCCAGAGCCACGCGCACAGCCACACTGCCCTTGGTCTCCTGTGGGAGGAAGATGCCTGGTATTGTCAGGAGGTGGCTCAGAGGGAAACGCCCGTGGTCCACACCCATCATCCTCCACACTGGAGGCTCCCAGGACTATGACTCCTCTGGACTTGCACAGTAAACCCTGGATCCCTTGGTCCTTTTCCAGCTTTGCCTTGTCCCGATGGCTCCCAATGCCATTCTCTGGCTTTCCTCACATAAGGGCCCTGGTGTTCTTCTTACAGCTCACTGCCTGCAGGGGCTTCAGTCTCAGCCAGCTCCTACCCCAGCCTCTTGTGTTTGTCACCACCTTGCTGAGCAGCCCAGGATGGCTGTGATCTCTCATTTGTGTCTCCCTCCACTAGAGGCCATCAGAGAGCAAGTCCCCTTCTGTCCTGGGCATGGCTGGGCTCCTTAGCAGCAGCAACTGTCCCTCTTGGTCAGGCTGTGGCAGCTCAAAACAGTGGCCAGTGTCACTAAAATGCAGCCCACTCTATTCAGTCCCGTGCCAAGTGTTAAATACACACTGAAGAAGGAAAAAATGGCTTGGGTGGTTTTCATAATGGGTGCATGTTCTAATAGTAGCATGTTAGATATGCTGGCTTTAAATGTCATGAAAATTAACCCAGCCTGCTTCCCCTTGCTTCTCTGAAACACGATCACCACCTGTGGTGCTGTGCTTAGTGTACAGGGACAGTACTAACCCCGTGTCTTGGGGAAGGGGAAATGACATAGGTGGTGAGGTGTGTTCGGTGTCCAGAGTCAGTGTCCCTTTCCCTTCTTGGGGAAGGGTAAATGACAAGGGAGGGGCAGAACTATGAGTAAAATCAACAGGCTTCCTCTGTTGACCGGGCCACAGGCATGTTCCCACCTCAGGTTTGGCCTAAGGTAACTCTGCAGCGGTCCAGGTCCAGCACCTGCCCCGGGAAAGAATACTAAATAACCCATACACGCACACACGGAGGCTTTCACTCACGTGGTCAAACACTTGGCTCTTGGTGGCGTTGTACTTCTGTGCGATGGCGTCAGCTACGGCATTTGGGCCCATAAACAGTGTGTTCCAGTTGTGAGAGCTGAGGAGCAGGGGCAGAACAGAGGTCATGTGGTGGCCCCCCTCCCCCTGCCTCCCACTCCTTGCCATAGGCCAAGCCCATGAGGCCTGAAGACCAGGAGACTGAGGGAGGCACCAGCAGTCTCTCAAGCCAAGTGTCAGCCCTAGCTGAGGGCAGGGACTGTGAACACATTCTGTCTTACGATGCACCCTGTGCTGTAGGTGGTGGGGAGACCTGTTTCTGCTCTCCACATCCCACAAGTGGGAAAACTGAGGCCCTGAAAAGGCCTGGACTAGGAGCACCAGGAAGAGGGAAAGAGAGCAGCAGACTCTGGAACTGGGGCCCAGCAGCCACTGTGGGTTGACTAGGACCTGGAACTGTTGGCTTTGTCCATGGCCTCCTTCTTCTTCTTGTAAGAGGATCCCGGGGTGTCTGCATCCTGGCTGGCTTCCTTCTTGATGGTGGAAGGGAGGACATGGAGCATCCTGCCCTGGAGGGAATAGAAGGAGGATGTAAACATAAGCTCCGCCCTCAAGGATGCCACCGGTGGTGGTTAAAAGGAAAATGGCCCCCAAAGGGAGTGGCACTATTAGGAGGTGTGGTTTTGTTTGAGTAGGTGTGGCCTTGTTGGAGGACGTGTGTCACTGTGGGCGTGGGCTAAAGCTTCCCTCAGTGTGACATTCAGTCTACTTCCCGCTGCTTGCTCATTAACGTGGAGCAGCTCCTTCTCCAGCACCATGACTGCCTGCATGGCTCCATGCTCCCCACGGTAACAATGGACTAAACTCCTGAACTGTAAGCTGCCACCTCAATGAAATGTTTTCCTTTTAAGATATGCCATGGTCTGGCCAGTCGGTGGTGGCACACGCCTTTAATCCCAGCACTTGGGAGACAGAGACAGATAGACAGATGGATCTCTGTGAGTTCAAGGCCAGCCTGGTCTACTAAGCGAGTTCTAGGACAGGCTCCAAAGCTACAGAGAAACCCTGTCTTGGAAAAAAAAAAAAAAAAAAGAATTGCATCACGATGTCTCTTCACAGCAACAGAAATCCTAACTAAGATAACACCTATGGTCACAAGTACACTAGATCCACGGCTGACTGGGGGGAGACAGCAGAGAGACCATATTCAAACGTTTGGTCCCCATGTGGAACTATTTGGGAAGGATTAGGAGGCATGGCCTTGTTGGAGGTGGGCTTTGAGGTTTGAAAAGCCCACACCATTTCCAGTTGGCTTTTGTCTCTGCCTCGTGCTTGTGGATGGAGACGTAAGCGCTCAGCTACTGGTCTAGTGCCATGTCTGCCTGCTGTCATGCTTCCCACCATGGTCACAGACTCAACACTCTGAAACTGTAAGCCCCAATGAGCTCTTTCTTTACGAGTTTAAGACATCCATGTGACACAGGGACCTGTCACCGTAGTGAGGCCAGCTGACACCACTGCATGCAGAAAACACTGTGTTTAAAAAAAGATTTAATTTTATGTGTGTGTGCCTGCGTCTGAGTGTATGTATGTGCACCATGTGTATCTGGTCCTTTGAAGGTCATTTTTCTTTTCTGATCTTTTTGTTGTTGTTCCCCTGCTTTTGAGACAGGGTCTCAGTATATATAACCCTGGCCGGCCTTGAATTCACAGAGATGCACCTGTTTTTGCCTCCTGAGTACTGTGGGTCCAGATCTGGAAACTGTACCCCTGCCTCCCCTTGTTTACAAAGACATCTGCAGCTCCAGGGCCCCACAAACCTAAATCCTGACCTGTCTATCCCTTCACAGCAAGAAAACATGAGACCTACACAGGTAGGTGCAGGTCTAGCCTGATAACAATGACATCTATAAACCAGGAACAAATAAGCCAAACAGGCAGCCTGGGACTCGGACAGGTGTCCAGTACAAACTACCTGTTACCATGAGCAGATAGCTGGAGGTGTTTGAGAACACCATGGCTACCATGCTTCCCACTACACTCTCTGCCAAGAAGTGTTTCAGGAGGCACACTTTTCACTCAACGAATATTCTCAAAGTACCCAGTGTGTGCCAGGCTGCCACGGACAACAAATGGCAAGGCCAGACCCCTGCCTTTAGAAATTCCACCCTCTAAAAGTTCACTTGAGGTGACAGCATGGCAAGTCACTGTGGGCACTAAGGCCTAAAATGCACAAGCACATACTCATGCATGCCCCCTGCCCCCCCCCTTCCTTGAGCCCAGCAGCCTGACTAGTCCTGAGCAAACTTACCTGGAATACCTGCCCATCTACCTCAGCATATGCTTTCACCGCGTGCTCAGGGAACATAAAAGTGACAAAGGCAAAGCCCTTGGGCTTCTTGGTCAGGTTGTCAATGGGATAGTGGAGTTCTGACAGGGGACCTGGAGATGGGAGAAATGTCAGTCAGCTGTGATCCAGAGCACTAGTGCTAGGCCCTGGCCGGACAAAGGCCTGGACTGCTGAGATCAACAAACAGCTGTCTGGGTCCCACAGGAGAGCATGCTGAGTGACAGTTGGCTTACCGGTGCAGTGTTAAAGGCACTAATGTGTGTCAATCCTCAGAAGAGGTGTGAGCTAAATATCCACTCTGCTATCTGCTCTATATGCGGCCTTCCCTTGTCCCTATATGGACACATCACTTAACACACAGGGGCCTGTTTCCTCACCTATAGAATACCACAAATTCCCTGGCTCACAGGACAGGTATGGGGTGAGCTGTGCTAACACAGGAGTATAGCCAAGAGTGCCTCCTACAGGTGGTGACATGTAAGTGCCATGACATCACCTCACCAGCCAGGCAGTGCTTCCCACTCTGAACACAGGGCATGATCACGCTCTTACCAGGGGCCCCTATCTTCCCAAATGGACACCCACAGTCTAGGACAATCCCTCTTCTGTCCAGTCTGGTCATGTCAGGCAGGAGGCAGGAGGGTCTGGCTGACAGGACAGCTGTGGGCACACTGGGGGGTTTCACCACCCTGCCTCCTCACGGGTCCCATGGAGCCTCCACACCCAGGCCGTCCTTGGAAGAGCTACTGCAGGCATGCTGCAATTGTTACGGTCTTGGCCCCAGGTAGAGCCCTGCTGCCCTTTGTGTGATAACCCTGACCCCATGAGCAAATACAGCCCCGTGATGAGACGACCTACTGGCTGGTGAGTTTTCAGCATAAGAAACTACAACAGCGGCAACAGTGAGTACAGTTCCTCTGCACTGGGGTGTAGTTCAGTGACCAACATGCAAGGCCTGGGGTCCAGCCCCAACACTACTAGGAAGGAGGTTAGCTCTGGGAGGGACTAACCAACTGGTCCCCAGAACAGGACACAAAGGACATAGTCGTGGTCTCTATAGCCAAGCCAGCTCAGGGTCCTGAAAGCAGGATGGGGAGTGGATGAAAAGAGGATAGAATAGGAGGCAGAGGTCAACCAGTTGAGACAGCTCACATTGGCTTCAGGGGCACTGGCGCCAGGGGAGTACATGTAGAGGGCTGTTAACCTTTCCCCTAGGGAACGCTTCAAGTTCAGGGCACTTCAACTCCCTGGCATAGTCTTATATCTTTCTTCTCCTCTTGAGACAGGATCTTACCATGTAGACCAGGCTGGCCTGGAACTCAGAGAGATCCACTTTCCTCTGCCTCCCGAGTGCTGGGATCAAAGGCTGGAGGCGTGTGCCTCTGCGCCTGGGCATAGTTTATGCATGTATTTGTTATGGCCTGAGATCTGGGCCTCTACGGAGAATGTGTCTTTTTCCTGGGAATGCCCACCCTGGGGGAAGCACAGAGAAGAGGACAGTAGAGGAAGAGGGAGCTAGGAGCTGCGAGGGCCAGGGTCACTGCTGCTGGGCTTGGCTCCTTCATCTGCTAAAGGGTATTCCTGCTTTCTGTCTATTCCAATTAAACTCCTGACTGCTTGATGTGCATGTTGCATCTGAATCCCCTTTTAAAAGCAAGAACCAGAGTTGAGGCTGGAGGAGCCGAAGGCTCCCTTTAACATAGTATCATACACCCAACAAAAAGACCAGCCTCATGCTGGTGCTTTTAATCCCGGCACCCGGATCTCTGAGTTCGAGGCCAGCCTGATCTACAGAGTGAGCTCCAGGACAGCTAGAGCTACACAGAGAAACTCTGTCTTAGAAGAAAAGAAAGGTATCCTAGTACAGGCTGACAATACCTGCACTCAGGAGGCTGAGGCAGGAGGATTGCTGGAAATTCAAAGTCAGCCTGGGCTGTAATAGTAAGATTTTGTTTCTAAATTAAAAAGGACTCTGATAGCCAGATGCCCTCGGTGTCTAGTATGGACAGCCTGAGGGAGACACCACTCTCCCCTCTGCTCCACAGTCTGAGAGGGTAGAGACACCATCCACAGGGCAGAGGTGTTGGCTTTCCAGAGACTGTAGCTGATAGATGCAGATACCACCCAGGACCAAGCGGAGGGAGCACCCACCATAGGCAGAGAAGAGCTTCTCCAAGTCTTCCTCAGAGCTGGTGTAGGACAGGTTCCGCACGAAGAGCCTCCCAGAGTCGGCCAGGTCCTCCTCCTCCTCATGTTCCCCAAGCGTGCGGCCCTGCCAAGGTGTGCTACTGCTCTTTGGGGGACCATGGGCTGTGGGGGCCTTCTCCCTGAAGACCTCGATATAGCGTCCACCTGCATGAAGACAGGGATCACAGCTGTGGGAGCCTGAGGTTGGGCGAGCCTCCCGAGGGTCCCGTTAGCCTCTGCTGTGCTGCTGTTCAGAGCCTGCTGTCTCTATGTACGATCTTGTCTGCAGCAGGCTGTACCCCAGTGCGCAGCTGGATCCACTGGGACCTCGCTCACCTAGACAATGCTGCCACAGCCCCGAGGAGCTTTTAGGGAGTCAGTGGCTGGGTTCTGGGGCCTCCCTACTCCCCACATTGGCTGATCTGCTTTGGGAAGACGTCACATGACAATCCAACCTGGGGCATTGAGCGATGCCCCAGTGAACCATTGCACGAACCACACATATCAGGTGTCCACCCCGCTTCAACCGACACCCATCCTCCTCATCCACTCAGTGCTCCGTCAGAAACCACCACCTGACCTGCCTACAAGACTCCCATCCTCCCTCAGTGTGACTCCTCTGTCAATGGCCCTACCCTGCATCTAAGCCACTTGACCATGCCAGGATGGGTAAGGATGTGTCCTCCCAAGTCCGCCAGTGTCACAGGCTGTTCTCAAGACCCAGAAAGCTGTTCCAGGGAGCCAGAGCTCAGGTCAACACAGCCTGCTCCTCTTCGTGTCACCCAGGTGGATTACATTATGTGCCGCTTTCCCGTGTTCACTCTGTGGCTTCTCGAGTGTGTGTGTGTGTGTGTGTGTGTGTGATGACTGGGACTCTGCCCCTGCTGGGTCCCCGGGAGTATCTCAGCACCACTGTGTACAGTCAAGAGAGGGACGGCCCTCACTGATGTCCACCGCACCCTTACCCATGTATTCCCGGTTGCACTTCAGCGCTCTCTTCACTTCCTCTTCGCTGCTGAGATCCACGAAGACATACCCTGAGAGAGGACGGACACAAGGGGAGTCACAGGCAGAGAACCTGTCTGTCAGCCTCCGGGACACAGACAACCCCACACCCCAGCAGCTTCAGACCACAGGGCTGCCTGTGTAAATGGAGAAGTGAATCCCAGGAGTGAACAGCAGGGCCTTCCTGCCGGTGCCAGCCCCAACTTGTTCCAGAACATTCTATAGAGAAGTGTCAGTGAAGGCTCCTTTACTGAGGCCCTGTACCCCCCCCCATGCCCTCTTCAGAACTTAAGGCGAGAACTGACTTGATACAAGATGTGATAAAGACGAGACACGGGACGGTGACCAGACTGCCCCAATGCAATGTACTTTATCCCCCAGTGCTCTGCCCAGGTGGCCTTTTCCTGTCAAGGGCCCCTCACAGACTGCAGGTTGTGAATTTCCAGGCCACAGGGCCTTGGTGTGGCTCCTCAAAGATGCGGCTACAGTCCTGATGCTGCATCTCCATAGCTTCTTCCTGGTGCCGACCTCCCCCAGCTCCAACTCCGGCTGACCACCAGACTCTCTACCTTATGACAGCCCAACCCAGTGCTCTGAGACCAGGAGACCCTGGCTGACCAGAGTGTAATCCTGGGAGAAGTGGCCAAAGGCCACATCACATACACTCAATAAGGTAGGACTGCCCTCTGGACAGAGCAGCCGACCCTGGACCCGTTCCCATCTGTCAGCAACCCATGTGAGCCTCAGTGTCGTGGAGCTGAGAGGGAGGGAGACGCAGCTGGAGAGGAGTCACTGTATCAGGCCACCAGACGCAGGGACAGGAGGCCCTTGTCTATGCACTGAACTACACAGAACTGAGGGCAACAGACGGCAAAAAAAGAAACGGTGTCCTTAGGGCAGCCTGTGGTCGGCAGCCTCAGCGCAGGGTGGTTTCTCTCCCTCACCTGTTTTGTTCCCATGAGCATTTCTCACTATTCGAATGGCCACTGGCTTCAGGGGTGCCAGGAACTCTGTAACATTTTTCTGGAAAGGAAAAGAAATGTGTTTTCCCCCCTTTTCTTTTTCCTACAAGTGACATATTTCATTGAACAATTAACAATTAGCAGTCGGACAGCTAGCAACTCTAACATTTTCTCTTAGGATTCTAAGCACTTGACAACCCGATCGGGAACATAGTTCAGACACTGAGCTGTCTCTCCACCCCCCTCTCCCTTTTAAACAGTGAGCCTGTCCACCCTGGCACCAATGTGAGGGAATGAGACAGTCTTCACACCGCCACACCTCTCTTTCCCACGCTGGTGCCCGGGGTGTTACTCAGCAGCCTCCACGTCCACTTCTGGCTTGTGGCTTCACCTGACCCTGGTGTCCCACCCTCTCTGTCTTCAGTGAACACACACCTCAGTGACATTGAACGGGGCTCCCCGGAGCTTCACAGTGTAGGGAGTGGTGGGTTCCTTCTTGCTGGCTGGCTTCTCTACCTGAGGGATCACAAAGAGAAAACTGTGTGGGGAGCACCCGATACCCACATGGCCGGTGGTGGCTGGGACACCCTGGAGCTGGGGCACCTGGACAACCCCACAAGCATCCCTGGCTGCTGTGAGCTGAGCTTAGCTGGAGACAGACCAGGCAGCTGCAGAGTCTTTACTGCACCTGAGACAGAGCTGCATGCAGAGCCTTGGCCACAGGAAGAAAGAAGACATAGCATTGAGGCTGAGCTTGGCCTGGCCACACTGCCCAGCACTTTCCAGTGTCCATGTGGGCAGTGCAGTTCTACAGGAGTGCTGAGGTCAGGCCCAGAGTTCTGGGGTTCCAACAGCTCTGCCACTCCCAGTTTCCCCTTTGAAGCTCAAACCTGTCCTTACTGGAATTTTCTTCCTGGCAAAGCCCTGTCCTGGGCTGTTGTGTACCCCTGACTTCCTTCACCACACGAACCCCAAGGGCTGCCCTGGCTCCAGCTGCAGGGCACAAGCAGGGCGACTATACCACAGTCGTCCTCATGCATCTGAACGACCAACCCTGGCACCATAGGGGCACATGCCATGAGTCCAAGTGGAGATTAGAGGCTTGTGGGGTGGGCACATCTCACCCAGGGGTGACAGGTACGGAGGGTCAGTGCTGCAATGTGAGCTCCACACTGCTGCGTATCCTGGATAGGGCATGCTGGTTTGACCGGCAGTGAATCAAGTGAGGAGTGGAGGCCTCTCTCCCTCTCATTGCAGAGCAAAGAGCAGGGCAGGAGATGGGATGGCTCTGGGGGGAGAGATGCAATCCCACCCAAGCGTCCAAGTGTCCTGTCTCTGCAGCAGAGAGGACCTTTCAGTGGAGGACTTGCGGGGGCGTCATCAAGGTCTGGGCCATCTTTGAAATCTTCAAAGCTTCAGCATGGGTGAACCGTTGCCCCTCCCAAGACCTGCTTCCTCACGTGTGCAGAGGACTTAGCCAGCGAGTTGCCAGGAACATTGCCCAGCATGCAGTGAACCCTCACTGACCTCGTCTGTCAAGGCTAAGCTTCCTCACATCTACCCATCTTATTGGTAAGTACATGGCAAGACCCAGCCGGTTCATCGATACCCCACAACTCCAGCAACAGGAAGTCTCCCCACACCAGTTCAGGAACCTAAGCTGCAAGACACCCTGTGGGTAAATAGCCTTCCCTCCCAGTCAGTCCCCTAGGAAAGGGGCTACAATGATGCTGGGTGACCCAGGCCAGCCTCTCCCTCAGTCCCCGGAGATAACACACACCTTGACGGCGGCTTCCTGAGGTCTCTGGCTCCCAGGCAGGGCTCCCCGGCTCACACTCTCCTGCTGGGCTGGGGAGGCAGGCGAGCCCTCCTCTTCCTCAGCCTCACTGCCTTCTTCACAGTTCACTGCCTCATCTTCACTGTCCTCTTGGTCCTCCTCCTCAGAGGACACCTCGGCCTGCTGCACCATCTTGGATTTCAGGTAGTCCATGTCGGACAGTTCCTTCTGTGTGGCTGCCTTCGGCTGCGGGCCTTGTTCCTCTGGGGACACAGAAGGTCAGCGACCTTAGTGAGCAGAGACAATACGCCCACCATGGCCATGGCCCTCACACAAATCAACTCCAGCCAGTTCTCTGATGAGCAACACCTGGCAGTGGACGAGGCCACACTCGACTTTGCGTGTCTTTCCATCCTGCCCATGACACATGCTGATGTGTTGCTTCTTTCACTACCCTGGCCCTTTCCAGCCCTCCCTCCCCCATAAGATTTAGTTATACATGTGTCTCTGTGTGGATGTGTGCATGTGAGTGCAGTGCCCACAGAGGCCAGATGAGGGCACCAGATCCCCTTGGGCTGGAGTTACAGGCAAATGTGAGCCACTGAGGGTTCTGGGAACTGAACTCAGAACTTCTGGATGAGGGGTAAGTTCACTCAGTTGCTGAGTCAATCTCCCCAGCTCCCCAAGATCTCCCTTGTACATTCATCTTCGAACAATATTGAAATAATACATGCAACACAGCTCATGGCAGAGGCCACTATAATCTACTGGTTCAGCAAATTCCACGTGAGGGCCGAGGACGGTCCTTGTCAGATACTAGGCTTCTTCATGTGTCTGTGTTAGACACCTGCCACTCTGTGTCCTTTACTGTTGGTGTCCCTGGTGAACAGTACAGGTAACACTAATGTGCAAAGGACACCTGGTGGACAAGTTTCGGGAGAAGAAGCAGGCACGGGAAGCCTGTCTGAGCAGAGGAGAGATGGTCATCCCTTACACTGCAGCCTGTGTGACCCTCTGAGGACACCATGGAGCTGCAGCTCTGTTCAGCACCCTCCAGTGGTTTCCAGTGCTCAGGGTGGAGCTAACCCTGGCTCCCTCTGCTCTAACCTGTAACCAGGCTGTGCCTGCCTCTCCAGCTCTGGGCCGTCCTCTCCTTTCCAAGGCTGTTCCCTGCTTCCTCTGCCTCTCCATCCTCAGTTCCATGGTCCTCAATGCAGAAGACTTAACCAGGCTGAGCTGAGTCAGCCCCACATCCTCACCGATAAACCAGAGCAACTCTTATGGCAGGTCACAGCACACAGGGCTATGTTCTGTACTCTGATTGGCTACTTATCAGTCACAGCAGGGCCCATGAGGACAAGATACCCTACCACTATCCGCTAGAGCTGAGGAGCCCTTCCAGGAAGCTTTCCCACACCCTGTCCTGCCTCCTTGACATACCTGTCACCATACATATTCATCTGGGAGCGACCTGCCTCTGTCCCTCTGCGCTTACTGGCAGGCCCACTCTACAGGTACAGGGGATGTTGGAGTCTTTTCTCACTGCTGTGTCTACAGTCCCCAAAGCTGTGCCTGGCACACTGCACATGTTCAGTGAATACTTGCTGAGCGAGGTGACCAGATTTGTCCAGGGGAGACACACCTGTAGGCAGGCTGGTCATCCCTCAGATGGCTAGAGGGAAGCACCTGGCTGTCCCTTTTCTGTGTCACCAGAGAATGTCACACAAAGTGTCCTTTGTATGCTTATGCCAAGTATATCATACTTGTGCCCATCAGGTCAGGGCCAGGCAAAGGCCTATGTGTACCCAGGGTGCATACTCACCTTCAGGTTCCTCTCCAGCCAGCTCCTCCTCACTCTCCTGTCCTGAGTCGGAGCCGGAGTCGAAGTTCAGATAGTCACTTGATGCCTTGGTCTTTGCTCTTGGGAGTTCAGCATCCAAAGCATCGTTCGCCCATGTGGCCACCTGGGTCCTCTTCTGGTGAATGGACAGGAACTCCTGGAACTCGGCATCTTTCTTCAGCTGTGGCAGTGCAGCCAGGTAGGAGAGGCAGAAGGAGCGATGTGAGGCAGAGGGTTAGGAGGTTCAGTTCTCCAGCCCTCCATGTTCCCAGCCCTTCCTCTCTACCCACAGAACACTCACCTTCTCCAGGTCACTGGGCACCTTTTTCTTCTTGTCATCCTGAAAGTGGAAGGCAGACAGGGTCACAGAGATGATGGGGTAGGGAAGACGCAAGTGCGCTTCCCTGGGCACACCCACCCTCCAAAACCATCCAAAAGACACTTTCAACTCCCTCCCAGCTAGGGTCCACCCTGCCAACACTGGGCACAGGGCTGCGGGCTCTGCCTACATACTTTTTTAGTGTCTGAGGAACTGGAGTCTTGCGATGGCTGCTTGGGCTGGCTTGGCTTCTGGGCATGCTTGCTCCAGGCTCGGGGTTTCGTTGGGTCTCCAAAGGACTTGCAGAATTCCACCTGTATGGGAAAGAGAGCCAGCTTCCACAGCTGCTGCGATACCCAGGCACATGTGGCCCCTTCAGCTCCAGGAGCATGGGTTTCCCAGAATGCAGTGGTCACTGACTAGCTGAATGCATTAAAGCGAATTACCCAACCTAGACATTGTTCTCCAAAAAGTCATTCTGGCTGCTGCCATTTACAGAGGGATGAGCTCTGCCTCCCACGCTCTCCAGTAGAAGGTGACAGGAAATGCTACTGTTCCCTCTGCTCAGACCAAGAGGTTAAAGCAGAGCCTGGGTGGCCCAGAAAGCAGGTGACAACAGAGCAGAAACAGAACTTGGGGCACATGGGGATTGGGAGTCCACATTCATCTCCTAATCTAATAAAGGATGTCAGGGAGGTAGTACCTGCCTGTCCCAGGCCAACAGGGAGTGATGACTGTTAGGGTAAAAGGCAAGCTCAGTCACAGCAGAAAACAAGCCCAGGGAAACAGGGACAGCAGGGTGGACATCAGGAATGTGGAAGAATGCCAGGACCACACATGAACTGATGTATCCCTTGGCCCTGGAACCTCAGATACACACTCAGAGGCAGTTTTTGGAGGACACTCCCATGAGCCACACTCAAACATTCCAGGCTGTTATTGATCAGCAAACCACTTTATCCCAGTGGCATCCCTTGAGAAGCAACTGTTTCTATCAGTTCCACCATAATTGTAGCGTGTTCAGGGTACAAAGGTCAAACAACAGAAAAGAGTACCATGAGGGCTAAAAGCTTTAGTTCAGGACTCTGGAGAGGGCCCAGGGAACAGTTAGCAGACTCTCAGGCTATGATGCTTGGGTACTCGAAAGCTTGTGTATCCCTGAAATAAGGCCTAGACTCTCTATGGCAGGCAGGATTGAGACTCCCTCAGACTCACTGTGATCCGGGACGTGTCAATAAAACTCCGGTTGAAATGGCTCAATGCCGCCTGGGCCTCTTCCTCTGACTTGAAACCTATAAAGCCAAACTTCCGGAACTTGCCATCTTTGGTGAATTTGAGGCTGCAGTCAGTCAGTGTGCCGAAGGCTGCAAACAGCTGCCGGAATCGCTCTTCCTTCATCTAGGACAGAGGGGTATAATGAGCGGAGCTCGGGATTCCCAGAGCAAAGGGACACACAAGCTGAGAATCTAGAGGTCCTGGAGGGTGACCTGAGATGAAAAGATGGCAACATGTGTGTTTTTTGGGGTGGCCAGGTTTCAGCTCAGACCCTGATACCAGCTGAGCACCCCTAAGCAGGTTATCCCCTTCTCTGATGAGGAAATGAGACCCTAGAACAACTCAAATGCGCTGTCTCTTATAGTGTTCCCTGTGCGGTCCATATCAATGACAGCATCCATCTGTGGCTGAGGCTTGTCCAAATAAACAAATAAATAAGCAAAACGGGGTAATTGTTTACTAACCATGGAAGAGAATGGAGTCCATTAGAGATGCCCACACCCTGATCCCCAGCACCTGGATTGCACTGTGGAACACTACAAAGGGAGCATGCAGCCTGGCTGGCCTCAAACTAGAGATCTACCTGCCTCCTTTCCCAGTCCCAACAGGCGTGTTCCACCAGACCCAGATATTTTGAAAATGATATTTAGGATATGTTTAAAAACCTGGTGGTGAAGCCAGACATGGTGATGCCTTTAATCCTAGCACACTGGAGGCTTAGGCAGGCAGATTTCTTTAGTTGTGGGCCAGGCTGGTCTACATGTCAAGTTCCAGGCCAGCCAGGGCTACTAACCAGACCCTGTTTCAAAAAAGAAAAGAATCCCGAGATGAAGCTGTGTATGGTGAGGCAGAAGCAGGGGGGTGGCAATTTCAAGGTCAGCCTGGGTTACAAACTAAGATTCTGTTTTTCATTTTTCTTTTGGTTTATCAAGACAGGGTTTCTCTGCATAGCCTTGACTGTCTTAGAACTCACCCTGTAGTCCAGGCTGGCCTTGCACTCACAGAGAACCGCCTGCCTCTGCCTCCCGAGTGTTGGGATTAAAGGTGTGCACCACCACCAGTTTATATTCTGTTTTTCCAAAGCCCCCCCCTCCCAAAAAAACCAAAACCAAAATCCCAATGAGAGAGTATTCTGGGTCTCCTGGTATTTCAATGACATCATCAAGGTAGGGCAATCAGAGTGAGGAAGATGTTGGGGAGAGAATCAGAAGATCTATTCTGGACTTAGAAGGATGGGGGAGACACAAGTGGCCATGAACCAGAGAGAGCAATGCCAAGCAGATGCTGAGGAAGCCTAAACAGACAGGCTGGCAGCCAAGTCCGACCTGCAGCCTGCAGCCATGGTGCTGTCGTGTCAAAAGGTTAGACACCCCTGCCTGCTGCCAGCATCTGACAATACTTTGACATTAAGCTTGCTGACCCCTGACATGATAAAAATAAAAGCAACAAAATACAAATATTGTTTCAACCACTTTACCAAGGAAGCAATGGGAAATCAACATGCTATTACTATAATATGGTTTAGAAGTCCCACAGTGTAGACGGCTGGCTCCTACCAGTCTCATACCAGCCAGATTTGTGTGTGTGGCGGCTCTAGGGGAGAGGTTCTCCACTTGTGGGTCTCGATCCCCCCCTTGAGGGATGCATATCAGATAATTAGATTACAATGATAGTAGTAGCAAAATTACAGTTATGAAGTAGCAACAAAAATAATTTTATGGTAGAGGTTCACCATAACATGAGGAACTATATTAAAGGGTCGCAGCATTAGGAAGGCTGACAGCCACTGCTCTAAGTGCATGTGGCCCCACCAACAGCCAAAACAAAGTATTTATTTGTTTGTCACACAACTTGCTATGTAAACCAGGCTGACCTCGAACTTGCCATCCCATCGGAAGCCAGCAACGGTGTGCACCACCACATTTGGCTTTGAAACAAGTCCGTGGCTGAGCTTGCTCTGTGATAGTGAGACAGTAAGTGTTCTTTTCTGCTTCCTGCTGTTGCCATACATAGCAAGACCAAAAGCAACTTGGGGAGGAAAATGGCTTATTTGGCTTACATGTCTCAATCACAGTTCATCATTCAGGGAAACCATGGCAGGAACTGAAACAGAGACCATGGAGGAAGCCTGCAGACTTACTCGCTTGGCTAGCATTTTTACACAGCCAAGGATCTCTTGCCGAGGGGCGACACCACCCACAGTGGGCTGGGCCCACGTCAATCACGCATCAACGTTTCACGGTCTTGTCCTCAGGGCAATCAGACGGGAGCGACTCATCAATTGAGGTTCCCTCTTCCTAAGTGACTCCGGTTTGTGTTAAATAGACCAGAATTAGCCAACACAACGAGGAGGGGTCTCGAGTGTTCGGCATCTAGTCGCCTATCACCACACACACTCCTTGGTTTCTTTCTTTATCTGGCACGGCACGCAGTTACCGAATGCCTGCCAGGTGCCAGGTTCAGTGATCGAGGAGGCTGGGTGACCCCGTCTCCACCACCACTGGATGCCGTTCCCGTCACTCAGGACCTTAGGGTCACCTCCCCTCCTGTTTCCCACAACGGTCTCGGGAGAGAGGACTGCGGGGATCTATCGGGATCAACAGCGGCATTGAAGAGACCGGGGTCCGAGGCACAAGGTGGGGGCTGGCATCTCCCTGGAGCAGGACTTGGAGTCAGGCACCCATGAGGTGACAATAATCAATGGTGACAATTATAACGATAACAGCCTCTTTTCCCGCTCTCTAGCAGTCAGAACAGGGTCCCGCCCCATTGGGTGCCCGACCTCCCTAGTCCAGCCCAAGCCTTAAAAATCCCTCCATCCCTTCGCCTCATTTTCCGGACCCCGCTCTCACTTCCGGAAACCTCCCCCGACTCCTGCTCACCCCATTAGGGAGGTTCTTCACGATCAGTCGCGACATGGCTCCCAGGTCCTCTTCGCTTCTGATTCACGCACCCCGCGACGCCGACTTTCCACAAGTTTTCACGCTACTTCACTGGGCGCCGCCATCTTTGGCGAGTCACGTGGCCCTTGCTAGGTTCCGCCCGGAAGTGGGTGTGGCCTCATTAGAGCTTCTCCAGGGAAGCCACGCCCTTAAGTGGGAGGGGGGAGGACTGAGCGCTTGCCTTCTACGCAGGCGCAGTTTCTCCTCCGGGGCGTGGAGATGCCGTTGCTCAACAAGGCTGGCAGGGAGCGCTAGTGGCCAAGGCCCGCAGGATGACTACTGAAAAAGAGTAGGGATTTTTGCTTAAGAAAACTCTTTCCCCAACCGGGCGTTGGTGGCACACGCCTTTAATCCCAGCACTCGGGAGGCAGAGGCAGGCGGATCTCAGTAAGTACGAGGCCAGCCTGGTCCACAGAGTTCCAAAACAGCCTCCAAAACAATTCAGAGAAACCCTGTCTCGAAGAAAAAAACCACCTTTTTCTCCACCCTCTGCCCCCGGCAGTGATGGCACTCACTGCACTCAGGAGGCAGAGGTTGGCAGAGCTCAAGGCCAGCCTGGTATACAGAGCGAGTTCTCTGGCTGTTATACAGAAAAACCCTGATTCGGGAAAAAAAAAAAAAACCAAACAAAAAAAAAAAAACAGACAAAACAAAACCATTTTACAAATTCATTTATTTCTTTTTTTGCGCATACATTTGGCACATGTTCCAGGTTTGACATGTGATGGCCAGAGGACAACTTGCAGGCGTTCTTCTGATGGGTTTCGCGATCAAATTTAGATCATCAGGCTTGGCAGCAAGCGCCTTAACCGGCTGAACCGTCTCACCATCCCCGGTGCTTCCCTTTTAGGATAGAGAAACTGAGCCTTAGAGAAGCTGCCAGGCACTGACTCGATGGATGAGCATGTTCCGTGGATACTGTTATAGGGTGTGAGTGCTGGCCATTACAGCCTGTTTTGCAGGCAGGTGAACCGCGGGCCTGATGTGTGGTGCAACTTGATTCAAGACATAGGTGCTAAGTAGAAAGGCAGAGATTAGAACCCAGAGCCCTACGGAGAGTACCAATAGGTTCAAGGGCAATCGTATAGGCATCCTAGGCGCTGGGGGGGGCTTTTAACCTCTTATCTGCCAGCCTGGGGGCTCAGTTCTTGGCCAGACTTGCCTCTGTGGGTCTGTGCCTGCTTCAGTTAGCTGGGTTCTATCCTAGGGCCTAAGGGTGTCAAATTATTCAGTTCTTAACATGTTGTTCCAATGCGTTCTGGAACTTTCTCTGGACCTGCTCTTAGGCAAGTGATGTTTTAGATGGAGACCCCTGTTTTCTCTACAGAAAGAGCACAATCTATTATCATTATCCACGATGCTTCCGCTGCACCCTGACACTTCCCCCAAAGCCTTTGCGATTTTCTTCTAAAAGACATTTTGCCCCACTTTCCCGTATCCTTTGTCGTTACTGCTGGCTGGTTTATTAAGACAGAGTTCACACGCCACACAATTTACTCACTTAAAGTGTGGTTCTGGCTGGCAACATGGCTCCTAGGGCAAAGGAGCTTGCAGCCAAACACGTGTACACACACACACACACACACACACACACACACACACACACACACACACACATTTTCGGGAATTTTCTAAGACATCGCTGCCAGGAATATATTCTGCCGATTTCTAAGCCATAACCAAGGAGCCTTTTGATTATACTTCCAAAGAGGCCTCATCAGACCCACCTTCCCGAAGCTCCCCACCAGGAGCCAGGTAGAGTCGGCAACAGCTGTTTATTGAATGCTAATCGCTGGTGGAGTTCCCTATAGTTCAGACATCTGGGTGGTTTGTGAACAGAGCCTGGTGGCTATGCCTGGTCTCTGAGGGAGTGAAATCAGCAGGAGGCGGATGTGGCACTTCAGGGGATCCAACTGAAGAAAATCTGAGGGGTGTGAGCTAGAATGTGGCTGTTGTGGTGAATAATGGTGGCCCCTTCTGAAAGCTGCCCCTGTCCTGGTTCCCCGGAATCCCTGAGAAATCAGCTTGGAAGATCTGGGTGGTCCCGGATCTACTGATAAGTGTCCCTGGGTGGGAAGATGGAGGCCGATACGGGTGGATGTCACCCAAGACAAGCATGGTAGCTCCAGAAACTGGACCAGGTGTGCAGAGAACCTTGAGAGGGGTGCGGCCCCAAGGAAAACCACAGCTCAGGCTTCTCACTAGAGACCTGAGAGGGACAGCAGCCTATTCTGGCCTCCACGGGCACCGAGCTCACATGCACAAAACTACACACAGACATGCATATGTACACGTCCTCTAAAATAAAAACAAGATGTTTTTAAAAAGCAGGAGAAACAGCATGCCCCATAGCACAGGGTCTAGCAGTCCCCTCCCCCACAAACCGAACTCTGAAGGGTGGTGCACAGGGCAGAGCCCATGACAGCTGGGGTAGTTCCCAGGGACTGTGGGGGGGGGGCAGGGCATCACAGTTCGGTCTGCCTGCTCCCCTCCATTTCCCACTATAGTCTCACACTGGGTCACCCAACCAGAATCTGGGGGCTTGGTGACTGTCTCAGTCACTGTTCTGTTTCATTGGAGAGACACCACGACCAAGGCAACTCTGATAAAGAGAAAGCACTTAATTGGGGACTGGCTTACAGTTTCAGGGGCTTAGTCCATTATCATCACGGAGGGGAGCATGGCGGCACATGAGTAGGCATGGTGATTGTGCAGTAGCTGAGAACTACATCCCCCCCCCATCACAGGTGGGAGGGAGGGGGAGAGAGAGGGAGGGGGGAGGGAGGGAGGGCCTACTGTGGGTTTTTGAAACCTCGAGTCTGCTCCCAGTGACACACTTCCACAAGGACACACATCATCTATCCACAAAGTGTACCAACTGGGGACTAAGCCTGCAGATAAGGGAACCTATGGGGGTTATTTTCATTCAAACCACCACACTGACCAAGGACAGGGGTATGCAGAAGGGGCACAGGGCAGAGCGAAGGAGCAGGGATGGCCGACTAGGGACCAGCTACTAGGAATGGCCCACAGGCAACCTCTATGATACACTGGAAGACAGAAGCAAACCAAGTACCAAAGACTGTCACGTACTTCATCTTCCAACTATAGGGGGCGGGGCGGTGGCATGGAAACAGGACGTGCACTGTCTTTGCCATGGCAGCCTCACACGTAGACACGGCTCCTGGCTCTCCCCTCCTCCTCCTCACAGGGCACTGCCTAGCTGGGTGTCTAGTGTTCCTTAGTGCTCATCTTTGTTCCCCCACACACATCGCACTGCATCCTCCTTCTGCACACTGCAAGACCACGCCTTGCCTTTTCTCCAGGGGAACTGACGATTTCACTTAACCTCTGAGACCCTGTCTCCAAATAAGGTTCCCCCATGTGGCACTCAACGTTAGAGTTAGGAAGGTCTCAATTTCTAAGTGTTTTCCAAACTCTTTTCCCTGCCTTTTTTTAAAAAAAGATTTATTTATTCATGTATTTTGTGTATATAAGTGATCTGTCTTCATGCACACCAGAAGCGGGAATCAGATCCCATTACAGATGGTTGTGAGCTGGGCGTTGGTGGCGCACGCCTTTAATCCCAGCACTTGGGAGGCAGAGGAAGGCGGATCTCTGTGAGTTCGAGGCCAGCCTGGTCTACAAGAGCTAGTTCCAGGACAGCCTCCAAAACAATACAGAGAAACCTTGTCTCAAAAAAACCAAAAAAACAAAACAAAACAAAACAAAAAACAGATGGTTGTGAGCCACCATGTGGTTGCTGGAAATTGAACTCAGGACCTCTGGAAGAACAGACACGTGCTCTTAACCACTGAGCCATCATTCCAGCAGGGGGCCCCCCATTTTGAGACAGGGCTATATATTTCTCTATATAGCCCTGGCTGTACTAGAGCTCACAATGCAGACCAAGCTAGCCTGAAATTCAGAGAGATCTACCTACCTGCCTCTGCCTCTCAAGTGTTGGGATAAAAGGTGTGCACCACCACCTCCAGGTTTATATTCAATCTTTAATAATCTCATCAGCCACTGGGTATGGTGGTGTACACCTTTAATCCTAGCACTCTGGAGGCAGGGGCAGATGGATCTCTGAGTTTGAGGCCAGCCTGGTCTACAATTGAGTTCGAGGACAGTCAGGGCCTACACAGAAAAACCCTGTCTCAAAAAACAAACAACAAAAAACCCCAAACCAACCAACCAACTAAAAACAAGCAAACAACAATAACAACAACAACAAAAACCAAGCCCCACAAAACCCAATTGCATTAGCTAAGATGATCTCACAGGCCCATGAGGTGGTGACAGGAGGTATTGCCACTTGTGGAAAGAGAACAGAAGTGTGCAGGTGGAAGACATCTTTTTAAAAGTATTTATAATTTGTGCATGGGCAAGAGAATGTGAGTGCAGTGCCCTCAGAGGCCAGAAGAGGGCACTGCATACCCTGGAGTTACCAACAGTTGTGAAATCACCAGATGTGGGTGCTGGCAACTAAGCTTGGGCCTCTGCTAGAGCAGCAAACACTCTTAACCACTGAGCCATTGCTCTAGCCCCCAAAAGACATCTTTTATATTGCGTAGAGATTTGTCCTTTTGATCTTTCCAAACACCAAAACAACTACTGGCTGTTTTTAATAAATAACAGTGTTAACTACATGTGGATATAGCTATGGTGAAATTAACACAGAATCCGGTCAGCAATGATGATCATGGAGGCCATCACCCAAGGCATGGAAGGGTGTAAAAGGAGTGATTCCCTGTTTCTCCCTGCTTATATCCTGTTTCTTCCCAGCTATGTCACTTCCTGTCTGTCTGTACAGACCTCCAGACCGCTATGGTTAGTTCATGGCAAGCTCTAGTCTCTGACCCCCAGACAGGCTAAAAAAGATATCACCACAGTAGGGGGCACACAAAAGGCAAAGATTGTCAACTTGGATGGATTTAGGAGACACACATTAGGTGTATCTGTGGTTTAGTTGTCAAAAAGACTTAATTGAGGATGGGAGACCCACAAATGTGCATAGCATCATCCCTGGGGCTGGGGTCCCAGTATCCACCTCTGCTTCCTGACTTCAGATGCAGTGAGACCAGTTGCTTCATGCTCCCAAT